TCCTACCTGTTCTGCAAGGGCATTGCTGATCAAATTTTTGTTTTCTCTCGTTACCCTATGCTTCGAACACGTTTTGGCATCGATGCAGCCCGTTACCAGCGGCTCACAGGCATTCTAACGATGGGTTGGTCTATCAAGGCCTTCACCGCCGTGATATGCGATACATTCGCCTTCCTCGGTTACACAAAGCGCTGGTACATGTTTGTCTCGTGCGTGGTGGGCAGTGTCTTCGCGCTGTTCTACGGCCTGCTGCCCGCCAAGCCGTCGTCTGGTAACATTGCTGCCGCTTTTGTCTTCCTGAGTTCTTATGGCAAGGCCAATGTGGACGTTCTATCTGAAGGCTATTACAGCCGTCTTATGCGTAAGATCCCCAAGGCTGGACCGGCACTGGTGAGCTGGATTTGGTGGTTCATTATCTTAGGGGCTCTTCTGGCGTCTGTTCTCCAGGGCCCGCTATCGGATCTTAATATGCCGCAAGTCGGTGTGTTCATCTCCGCTGGACTACAGTTCCTTACATCTTTGATCTACCTTTTCAACCTGTACGGCGAGAAGACGAACCGTGATGAGCGCATTGAGGATGCACGTATTATGCACAAGGCACTACTCCTGGAGCTTCAGAAGGGGAAAGCCCTAAGCCGCACGGAGGGGAGGGAAGGCAGTCTCGATGTGGATCAGGGAAAGGCTCTACAGCTGGAGCCGATCGACGACGGTGAGACAGTGGCGTTGGCTGACGATCTGCCCCTGAACTTTACCCACACAAACCAGCAGCAGGCGCAAAAGCCGATGGAACTCGGAGGCGGATACCAGGACGATGCGAGCCCAGAATTTCTGTTGCCGCAGCCGATCATCGGTTGCTGTGGACTTATCGAGATCAACAAGGAGGTTGTCATGCGGAACAAGCGTATTGTTGCATACAGTGCTGTCATGACCGCTGCGGTTATAACTATGACTTTTGGTAATATCCTCGCAAATACGCTAGGGTTGCTTATTATTTGCGTAGTGGTGTCGCTGGTGTGCTCTGTGATGTCTTTCTGGGCATTGCCACTCATTATTGCTAAGGCTAACGTCATGGCTTATCTTAATATGATGCTCTACATACAGCTACCAGGTCTCCTGGACAGCTTCTACCTCGCTAAAGAAGATTGCCTTCCTGACGGGCCGCACTTCTCAAATACTTTCTATAATACTATTGCTGTTGGTATCATCGGCAACCTTGCTGGTTTAGTCGGTATCACGGCGTTTAGATATATTTTCTTGAGGTGCAGCTATCGTCTATCCTTAGTTGTAACTACGCTTTTATGGATGTCTGCCTCCATCTTCGACATTATCATGCTCAAGCGTTGGAATATAAAGATCGGCATTCCCGACCACGCCATGTATGTTTGTGGTGACGCCATCATTGGACAAATGTGTTACATGCTTTCATGGATGCCGATGACAATACTGCTGTCACGTCTGTGCCCGCGCGGCTCCGAGAGCACGGTGTATGCGCTGCTGGCCGGCTTCTCCAACCTCGGTCAGGCCACCAGCACGTCGATAGGTGCCATCCTGATGGAGTATGTGTGGCCCATCAAAAGTAATCCGCCGTGCGACTTCACGAACGCCGTGAAACTCGTCATTGTTGGTCACATCCTCTTGCCGCTCCTGATCATCCCGCTGACCCTGTTGCTGCCAAACGTCCGTGTGTCTGACGATATCGACATCGATGGCAACGTGATATCGAAAACGACACAAGAAGAGCCCCATGTGAAGCCTGGCAAGGACAGCAACAAGGCCCACTGAAGCTCTCGCAGCGTGTATGGTGGCAAGTGCAACTGTAAGAGTCATCTGAACAGAAGCAATCGCTCAGTTGATTATTTCATTTTAGACTTTGTCCTTGTTTCTTTCTTTAATTTACTTCAGGTATGTAGGAACTCCTACTATGGTGAATTACCTTTATAACAAAATAAGTTTACGATAATTAAAATCCCGATCAAATACTTTTTTTTTCTTTTAATGTTTTTTCCTTTCCTTAGTTACTAACAACACCGAAGGGTAATTAAAGCTGAGAGCAGTGCGACCCCTTCTGGTCTACCTCTATACCTTGCTTTTGTCGTCCAGGCAGCCCCTGTTCTCTCCCCTTCTCTTACTGATTTATTTGTGATGAGGTTGTAATATTGTGACATCACTCTTTTTCGCTTTTAACTGTCTTGTAAATAAATTGTTAACCACTCGGATAACTTAGTGAAACAGTACATTCTACACTAACATATCTCTTACCTTGTTTATCCACAGATTGATGGATACGCATGTATATATTCATTAATTATTATGCCAATCCATATGTACATATGATGTTCAAAGAGGCTCCTCTTGCTAGACGGACTTGGTACTTCTTTCTATGCGCTCCCTGCGTTACGCTGTAGCGTGCAGCCACCCTCCGCCTGGAGATCGCACGCCGAGCGCCTCGCTGGGCCGCAGGCAGATTCATCTTTGGGTAAAATACAGTCGCGGGGTGTTACTAATGAAGAATCTAAATCGTACTTTTCGCGCAATAAATCCAGTTGAGCTATTTTAAAAACGGTATGTGTGTGTTGTTCGTGTCTTTATTTTTTGGTGGTGTCTTTGTTAGTTTTTATTTTAGAAGCATAAACTTCTAAGTTAATGTGGCAAATAGGGTATTTAAAAATTTACCTTTGGGTAAATGATTTTATTTTTATCTATGGATGTAATTACTCAAAAAAAAGGTTGTTGTAAATAGTATAGTAGTTTTAAAGTATTTATAATGAAAGTGAATGCTATTGTTTTATGTGGGTTTTATTTTTTACCTTTTTTTATTATCAGCAATATGAATTTCTTTACTTTTTACTGTTTGACTTTTTTTTTTTGCTCAAAATGGTTTAAAATAATAGAGTTGTGCGGCTAAATCCATAATCAAATTATCATTTATATACTCCTTTGCATTTTTTTCATTCTTTTATTAGAAAGTTTAATTGATACAGTAGAGTCATTTTATTGGAATTAAAATACAAAAGCTGATTTGGTATATTCTTTTTTCTTCCCTTTCTGTTTTTTATTATTTTCACAATTAATTCTTTTTTATTTAATCACCTTTAATTCTCTAGCTGATATATATTTTTTTCTAATAAACAAAAAGATGCGATATTTTGCCTCGAAAAGTGTGAAATGGGCCAAAAATTGGCATATTCCGTAGATCTTGTAATAGAATGCTTATTCGTACACCCGCCTATTTCAGCTGCATCAATATTTTCTGAGTAGCTCTGATATTATTGTAAACAAAGGCAGTATACAATTGACGCATGTAGTAAAGTTACCACTGATGATAATTCATGGTCTCGATCTCGTTTACCATTCCAAGATTATAAATGGTGAATGCTGTGATTTTCGCTTTAACACATGCACTTCTGTGTGAAAGGTCTGTTTTCATCATTGTTTAGCAGCTTTACCATTTGGTCCATCGCGCCAAGATACCTACGTCGTATAGCGAATTCATTTCTCTCGATATATAGTAAGGGCAAGGTAGTGCGTTTTTATGTGTTAGTTCATGAAAATTGTGGTCACCAAGGCTTTTAGTTAACTCTTTGTGGGGATCCAAACTAAACCGGTAAGAACCACTGGCCTGTAGTAAGGACGTTTGATGAGTAATTTCCGGGTACCTATTCATCTGTTCCCTTCGCTAAACGTTTATGCTTATCCGTCTGCAAAAAGTCATGGGTTGGTACAGGCTTTAAACTCTCTTCTTTAACAGGACGAGAGTCTATTCTAAGTAAAATATTTCTTTACATATACACCATTAAAAAGGATACATTGCTTTTTGCATCTCTATTTCTCTCTTTTTGACATAATTGTTTATTCTATGGACTGAATAGGAAAAAATAAATAGACGGCTCTTTGCGTTAATACATTTTTTAAAATTTCCCTCTTTTTTGATTCAAAGCGAACACTTTTGTCAAGACATGTTTCAGTCATAGTATGTCTGTAATGCGTTTTTTGTCTGGCGCATGCATGCGCACCCGCACTTATACACAACTTTTCTCACATCAAACTTCCAGTTTCTTCAATCTTCACGACAGCTATATGTGACCTCCTCACCGAAGTTGACCACAATGTTAATTAAGTGCTCCGTTAGCGCTTCATCAAGATCAATACATTTGATTATTCGATTTTCAGCAGAATACACTAGTAGGTTCAAAAAAAATTACCCTACTGAAAACTAGAACTGTAATGGTTGCAGTGCCGCTGGTGTATTAAGAAAAAACGAGTAAATGTGTCTTTGCAATTATTCTTAAGCTGTTTTTGATACTTATGAATGGAGAAAGGTGTCCAATAGTAATGCAATTGTCATAGTTAAGGTGAAAATACAGTAAACGCAACTTAAAGCTAATGAAAGTATAAGAGATATTTATTGGCTACTGTTTATCGATGTACTCAAGGTATTAAATTGATTTATATTTAGATCCATCCGAGCTTGAGATGTCTGGAGCGTCCACATTTGATTGCAAAACAGTTCTAGTTAATACAATAGTAAATAATCCCTCTCGGAGGAGGGGGGGGATTGTTCCCACATGTGTATGTCCCCCTTTTCTTTCTTGATTATGACTTTCCTTTAAGATCAGTATATATAATGGATGTGTTCTCCCCTCTCCCCCCAATCAAGTGATTTCTTAAGTATTTACCCATCCTAATATTCCTCACATAGTGAGATCCTCTTTCTTACCCCCATGAAGTATCCAAGATAGGTTTAAGCCATAGAATGACGTGGTGCAGTAATGAAATACTGAAAAATGAATATAACTAGGGCCCGCACTTGGTACCTATCCCAAAAGATCATGTAATACTTTTCAAAACCATGTTAACTCGAATTTTCTTAGATACCACAAGGAAAGGAAGGGTTCTAAGAGCTGAATTAGGGCGAAAAAATATTTCCCGATATAAATTAATCCACATAGAAATTAGTTGGATTTCCATTATCATCTAGCACAAAGAATTTAATAGACAAAAGGGGAGATATATATACAAAGCACAAGCATGAGGAAAAAAGTTTACGGGGTGAATGGAGCTTCTTATAGCATCAAACAAAGGTGTACTTTCTTTGTTATGTGTACTAATTGTTTTTTAGTGAATAATGCTTACCAGCTTATCTATAATATGAATACCAATAGGTAGATAACTTTATACAGGTAGTGAAGATTTCTCACTGATGCCTCCTAATTGTGTCCAGGCTCTTTATGGAAATGGAATAATCACAGTAACCTCACCAATAAAGGAATATATTAATTAGTGGACATCGGGAAGACCCTTAAGGTGGGTGTATCACGTTAACTGGATACAAAAAAAAAGTGGATTTATCAGTTCCTATACATTTCTGGGGTGGGCGTGTGGGGTAATATTTTCTCCAACACAATTATTTATATAAATAAAAATTTAAAGAGAGTTTTTTCTAAGCCGTGTGTTCAGATTCTACTGCTCGTTCAGAAAATTCTTTTGACACTTTTCATTCAGGTACTACAATACTTAGAACTATCTTCTCAATTGTTCCTGTGATCAGTATCAAGCCTCGTGCGAGCTTAATTGGGGTTGTGGGGAAGACATTGCCATCATTCCTAATCTGCACAATACAGCACCTCACCAGGAATAAAATGGGCTTCCTGGCGATTCGAGCGCAATCCCTCCGATACGGGCGCCACACGTCGGGCTGTGTGGGATGGGGGATAACAAGCGCAACGGTGAGTCGGGCCGCCAGGTGCCGTGGCCTTGTCCGGCCATGGGCCTTCCCGGGCCCCTCCTTCCACCATGGGGCCTTTCCCCTCCGCCACCCCACGCGGAGCTACGTCAACGCGCTCTACCGCCTGCCCCCCCTTCACACTTTCCCCACCCACACCCCCGCCGGCGAGGCCGTCGACGGAGAACGCCTCCTCGCGCAGATCAACGGCCTCTTCCGCGCCCTTACTCAGACGCAGCTGGTCGACGCCGTCCACGAGATGCGCGAGTGCCCTTACTTTGAGTCCCTCTTCACCGCCGAGTTGCTGTTCCAGTACTGCGACCTCGTCCTGCCCATGCCCAAGTTTGGCCGCGAGTTCCGCTCCGCGGAGGTGAGCGAGACGCTGCGTTACATCCGAAGCTGCGGCGGGAGCGGGGAGGTGAGCCACCTCCTGCAGGACACCAAAGGCGGCCGTGCGAGCGGGATGGACTTCGTGTCAACCACCCACGGCATTTTGATGGGATTCGGCACCCCGCGCACGAACAAAGCGGTGGCTATGTCTTTGGCAGGGATAGACGCGGAGACGGGTGTGCAAAACAACGCCATCGGGATACAGAATGTTGAGGTGATCGAAATGCCAGAGGATAGCGCACCGCTGTCGGATCTCATCGCGTTTGGTGGTCAACGGACGTTTTTTTACAAGGACACCGTGCATGGCCGTCGGGCACTGCAGCTTGCGGTCGAGCGGATGCCAAAACTAAACGCACAGACCCTTAAAATAGAGCCAGGATGTTCAATCCTGTCGCATCTGTGCGGTGTAAGTCCGGTGTATGATGTGATGTGTGATCAGGACTTTCCCCTGTCGATAGAGCGTATCGGCGAATGTGGCATGAACCCGTTCCCGGTCGAGTGGTCTGAGCCGCGCAAACTTGGGATTACAATGCCCAGCGTGTGCCTGATCGCGAGATTCGCGCTCGGGTCATTAAATGGGGGTGGCTATGCCACAAGTGCGACCCCGATGGCTTCAAATACAAACTACCACAGCAAAGACGCGTCCAAAAACGCGCGTCTGTTCCAAGGTGGGCACCGCATCTATGGAGATCAAGGGGCACCGTTGGAAGCACAGATTCGTTCAGGAGAGCTGATGGATGTAGTTTACCAGCGCCCCCCGCGGTATCGGCCACCTATACATGGGAAAGGTTCCATTGTACAGCGTTAATTCAAGGGCACCATAGACAAAAGGTGATACATACAAATATTACAAGTTACTGAACCGATTAAAAGCAGCATTCCACAATGATAATATGGATAATAAAGATGTCGTCAGGGAGAAAGGGGGGTAGAAGGGTATAGGTGTGATCTCAGCTTTACCTCAAGAGAGTGCTTTTTTGTGCTGTTTTAATGCAGAAGGAACTCGGTGAATCAATGTCGACGACCCTTCCACAAAACTACTACTTGTCTACAGTAGGCTTTAGGTAGCCTTAGGATGCTTTGAGTTCATTATAAAATTTCCAAGCATCTTATTTTGCTTCATTATTTTATTGTTAATCTTTGCTGAGGACATTATTTTTATCCTGACGTATCTTTTCTAATTCGATGGTGATTAAAGTCATAATAAGCAGATATCATTATATTTGAATTTAATCATTGAATTGAATATATATTATATATATTTACTCAAGGAGTTTGCGCGGCGTGGTCAGACACACAATTCGTAGCGTAGAAAGTATGTCCGAGGCCGGTACAATGTCCGGGGACATCTTGTCGAAGATGGGGGAGATTAGCCAAAGCCCTCAGCCCAGCTTACCCATAGAGCACCTTCTCCAGGAGAACGTTGTACTGAAATCCAAACTTGCCTTATCTGAGGACCAACGTGTGATTGAAGACATCATGAGGGATCAACTCCAGAGCTTCCTCGTTGCAGCCACAGAGGGACAATCGCAATGGAACGATGGGCCGAATACTACAAATATGGCATCTTTTTCGGCAGCACTGAAAAAGTTATACGGTGAAAAGGCGGAGCTGGAAGCCGAGTTGAAACGCACTCGGCTCGAGACCACCGAAATGCTAAACGGCCGCATCGATGAACTGGAGCAAGACCGAAAGGTGCTGCAAATTCGCCTGCAGAACTTTGAGATGCAGATCAATGATGGGCCCCCCCGTCCATATGTAGTGGAATTAGAACAGCTTCGTGAGTCCGAAGCGTTGCTGCGTCAGCAACTGAAGTCTACACGGGAAGAAAATATCGCGATACTGGATAAGCTTAAGGAGATCTTTGCAGAGGAATTGGCGGTTTTTCCAACGCACATAGCGAAGGCTGAGGCAGCCAAAGCTGCTCTGCAGGAATCACACAAAGTGCATGCGCGGTTGAAGGTGGAGATTGAAGAGGAAAAAAAACGGTTCGAAATTCTTCATGAGCTACACGAATCTAGGGTTGAGGATGAACGTTATTTCCATTGTCAGGAAATACTAACATTGAGGGAATTGCTCACTGCCGCCCTAGAGCGTGAGAACGTCTTGGTGAAGGAGAGGGCAGCATTTCAAGCACAGATTGCCGCAGGGGCCCAACGAGAAGCGGACGAATCTAAGCCAATGTACGATAGTTTCGTCGTACAAGAAAGGGATGAGGAAGAATCCTTTGCATCAAAGCGACAGCGGGTGGAGCCTGGTCAGCACTCACAGCCCAACGAATCCATTCGCATGAAGTATGTCCATTTTTGGCATGATGGGCATGCGCGCGTTGCTGCTCTGGAGCAGCGAGTTCGTGAGCTTGAATCCACAGAAACGGCTGCGCGTGTTTTGCAGGGGCGCATGGCGCAGTTTGAGCGTGACCGTACCAATCTGACAGCGCAGCTGGTTAATCTGGCCGATGCCTTGATTAAGGTGCGCGAGACCAATCATCAGCTCCGCGCGCAATATGTCGGACTGGAGGTAGAGCGGAATCAGCTACTTGCGAGGCTAACCGAGGCACTTGAAGTGGCGATGCAGCCTGAGGAGTTGGTGGTATGCTCTAATGCGATTCGAGAAGCCGCATCCCGTCAGTCCGCCGCGAGTGCGACCACGGTAGCTGATCCTGATGGGCTCCAACAAGCAATGCGTCAAACGCGTGAACTGAAGAGCGAAATTGTGCGATTGCAGCGTCAAAAGGAAAATTTACTTCGCTGTATTACCCTGCGCGAAGAGCGCGTTTCGGCACTGCTTAAGCGCGAGGTGATGCTGGTTGTAGAGGGGGACCCGTGCAACGCCATCCAGACAAAGCACAAAACGACCCCTTGGCCAAAGCTTTTGGAGCTCGTGGAGCAAAGTGCCAAAGATATCTTTACGGCGAATGAAGCATACACATCTGAGCCTCATGACAATTTGAATTTGGCGTCAGAAACAAAAGGGAAGAGTCGCCACCACGGGTCCTTTCTGGCAATCCAGCAAGAGCTCAATGAAAGCCAGGTGAAGCTTCGTGACTCTTACCTCAAGCTACAGGAAAGCAAAGCCGAGTGTCAGCACCTGACCGCTGATCTTGTGCGCGTCGAAGCAGAGAAAAGTGAACTCCTAGTATCCAAAAATGTTATCTCAGAGACCTTACGGGCCTCGAACGTCGCAATCGAAAGCCTTACGAATCGCCTTGCAAGCCAGCATGCGGAGAACAACTCGGTTTTTATGCTTCAGCGGCAAACCCAGACAGCGTTTGCATGTGTCTTTGAGCTGTATCGAGCAGAGACCCAATATATTGAAAAGCTATGTACCCTTGTACGGCAAGAACGAGAGGATATTATTGAGCTGGTACGTCGAGAAACCCAAGCCTGGCTACACGTCAACGATGTGGCCACCCATGAGCATCCTGTGGGCATAAAATCTATTGTCGACACACTCGAGCGCCTAAACATATCTGTGCAAGACGGCGTAACACAGGCTATGTTTAATAACAGTGCAGAGTCGACAAAATGCCTGGCGAAGCTTGCAGAGTTTGTAAAGGATCAGGAAAAGCGCCTCAATTGTCTTCAAAAAGCGTACGCAGAGTCAACCACGCAACTAGCAACATCTCTCACGGAGCGCATTATAAACGCGCGGAACGAATGGGAAAGTCAGTGGCGTGACAAGCATCGCTCCCTAGAGCGCGAATACGCAAAATTGTCCCTTAATTCATTTGCCACTCAGAAGATGCATGAAGCTTTAGAACAGTTGTCTGTAGAGATGAATCTAAATGCAGACATCCTTACAGTGAGTTCACCGTTTTTACAAGAAATAGACACGGTAAACAGCATAAGCACGGAAAGTGTAAGGCACGCCTTGAGCGCGATAAGCGCCTTTTTGGATACCCTGAGAAGCGGTGAAGTGGATTTGCATTATCCCAACGAGTGGGCTTCTAGGAATTTACCAGACGAAAACGCATCCAGTATGTTGATTTTAAATGAAACCAAGGACATGCATCAATTTGAAAAGACTCCGTCACCCCCTGTAGAAAGCACAATGGATATTGAAAAGAAATCTGATAATGAACAAAGAGAGCACATTTAACAGTTTAGTGGACATATTGAAGGAATTAAAAAAACTATAAAACTGGGGTGCGATACGTTTTTTTTGTAGTTCATTTCAAAAACGATAATGTTACTTCCGCACCCCCTAAAACACTCACACACACAAAAAAAAAGACATTTTTTTAAATATCACAATAGTAAAGTAGCATTTAATTAAAAAGATCAAACTCCCCACCCCCTCATAAATCAGGTAAAGAAAAATATAAATAATCCCAAAGACCCGAAGGGTAAAAAAAAACGCCCAAAGGTTGGATTAAAAGCAGTCATGATGATTAGGTTCTTTAATTAGGTTTCGGAAATAGAAACATTTTTTTATAGTCTTAGTCTGAAATGACTGTTTAAACATCAATAATAAGTTCGCCCACTCAGAGGCATATCGCAAGTGCGTCTCCCCCTCCCCACGCATCCTTTTTTTTTTTTAACCTACTTCCTATTTACGAATTGTTACATACGCCTCTGATGAGCGACGACGCTGCACCTCGGACGGCTGTCTGTTACATTAAGAAAATAAAGTGGATGGGGGGTGGGGGTACTACACAATCGAAGCGGAATCCTTTGTTCTGATAGTTATTTACTTATTTCCATCCCTGACACGTGCTCTATAGCTTGGAGAGGGTCTTCCCGCCGGCAAAGAGCGATGGCAAGCCCTCGTCCCTGATGGGAAGCTTCATTAAGTCGCGCAGGCTTTCCTTGGCGTCTTTCTGTTTGTGCACAACGAGGTAGACCTCCTTGCAGAGGGGCATGGAGACGTTCAACTTCTCCGCGAGGCGGAACAGCGGGTCCGACGTCGCCACGCCCTCCGCGAAGGCCTTCGCACCGCGCATGATCTCCGTCATCGTCATACCATTGCCGAGCTTCTTGCCCACCGTGAAGTTACGCGAAAGCTCGGAGGAGCACGTCAGGGTCAGGTCACCGAGCCCGGCCAGCCCAAAGATGGCCTGCCCGTTGCCGCCAAGCGCCTGCGTCAGGTCACGAATCTCGATCAGCCCACGCGAGATCAGCGCCGCACGGGCGTTATTGCTCATCCCAAGCCCGCTCGCCGCGCCAGAGGCGATCGCAAGCACGTTCTTGACGGCGCTCGCCACCTCGCAGCCGACCGTGTCTTGCCCGGCCCAGCAACGGAACATGCCGTCCGGCGTCGACATCATGCGCTGGATGCGGCGCGCCTCCTCGAGGTCGTCGGAGGCCACCGTCACGTTCGTCAGCATGTTCTTGGCAACCTCGATGGCGAAGCTCGGGCCCGCGAGGACGCTGATGGGGACACCCGGCAGGTACTCCATCAGGATCTGTGCAGGGAACTTCAGTGTGGACTGCTCAATGCCCTTGGTGCACACCACCACCGGCACATGGTTCGCCTTCACGTGCGCAAGCAGTACCTTGCCGTGAGTCTTCAGGAACTTACGCATGAACGGGGTAGGGATGACAAAGAGAATGATCTCAGCGTCCCGGTACGTTTCCTCGACATCGGCGGTGAAGGTGATGTTCTTTGCCAGGGGAACACCCTTCAGAAACAGCACGTTCTCATGCTTCTCGTTGATGAGATTGGCCTCGTCGGCGTTCAGGTGCCACACCTTGACCTGCTCGCACTTCCTGCCCAGCACCGTCGACATCGCGGTGCCGAAGGCACCCGAGCCGAAGACGGCCCCCTTCTTCATGAACTTCAGGTTGGTAGTGTCAGCTTGGCAGGGCATTTTGCGTGGAGGTTGGTAAATGACTTTGACAGTTGAATAGCTTGCGTCTTTTTAATATTATTAGTGATGGACGTGCACACAGATAGGCAATCGCGCACCATGGAAATGGGGTAAAAAATATTGCCAAACAAGCGATAAAGCGAAGTAAGGAGAAAAAGATATAGAGTAGACCAAAGCGTTCGAACACCTGGGCAAAATCGGAATCAAAACAATTTATGCTATTCACGCATGTCGGAATTTCACCAACTGTTCGGAACATATATAAAAAAGTAATCCCTAGGAAAAAAAAAAAGAAACATACATCACGTGAACACTGCATTTGTAAAATAGTTAGAAATCAGGACGTGCGGAAAATAGTTGACATACTTACGGACGCGCTCAAATATATTTGTCCGCGTGGTCTCACAAAGATAAAAGAGCCCAATGTTATAACAGATATTTAAATATAGTGTAGTTACATTTTATGTCTCTGATTTAAAAAAGTGACTTAAGTCTCTCTATTATGTTCTTGTTTGTATTTCTGTATCGTTGTTATGTGATCAGAAATGCAATGTTTATATTTTTAAGATGTTGTGTTTCCCGTTTTATTATCTTACTTTTATCTTTATGATACTTTTTTGTTTATTGTAGTTAGATTTCTTTTTTACTTTCTTCAATCTTTTCTTGATATCTTTGTGGCGTTAGCATGGGTCTTGATGTATGTCCTGATACAAGTAGTGGTGCTACCGTCGTACGCACTATATCATGCCCATATTCATTCTGATTTGTCGCTTTATTATCTCGTTGCTTTATCTCTGCCACAGGTTCTTCTTTTTTTCCTGATATTGCGGATTTAGATAAGGGTATGGTTAACGTGTTATGATGTTCTGGTGTTGTGCGATATTTTCGATTTGCAGGTTGACCCAAATGAATAAGGCGTTTTTCTGTCTTATTCATATTCTGATACGTCACAGGGGTATCTAAGGTGGAAGATATACCTTTCATTGGGTTGGGTAATAGTGTGCTTTGTAACTGATCCTCTTCTAAATTTATATCAGACTGAGGAGGTGGATAAATATCTGGTGTAACAATGCGCTTTTTGTTGCTACCTGTTTTGTCATATTTGCCAGTGTGATTGCGATTTTTCCTTCTACTATTTCCAGTATGCTTAGGTAAATGCGTATCACGATTTCCACTCCTCGCACGGTAAATCACAGCATCACCAGTTGCCTCTGACACCGTATCTTTGTTTGGGTTCACTGCATTGTGGAATGTTAAGTCGGATGTCGTTGTTGCTATATGAGGCATGGAATGCTTAAATGACTCTTTTGTTGGAATGGTAACAGGTGACGGAAGCGATAATGCCAGGTCTACGTCCCTGTGGCTACGATGGTCCTTTACTGTTCTCTCAATATTTATGTTGATGTTCGGCAGGTCAGCAGAGGGCTCTGCGGCTGCAGTGTGCACTTGATTGGTACACACTGTGTTTGATTGCGAAGTCGTAGATGGAACAGGAATGGAGTTTTCGCGCCATAAAAATCTGTCATTTGCCATTGGTGGTATATACACTGCGGATCGCGGGCGGATTTGTCGGGCACAGCGAAGGCGCTGAACAAACCCTCTATCTGCGCAAAAAATACAATAGAAAAGTATAAGCATCAATAAAAGGAGGATCGCAAAGAAAACAATGCCAGTAATGAGAAGAATTAAGTCATACCTCGTCCAATCACTATATTGATTCCCAGAAATCACAAACGCGTGAGGGGTCAGCAACCGAAGATTGTTTGGTGAGTCTGGTGTCGCAACACAGAGGTAAAATATTTCACTTTTGGGTACTATAAAGCTCAGCTTTGTCGCCTGCGTTGGATTGTTGATCAAAGATGCGGTGACCTTCTGGGGTCTGAAAGATCCACCTTCACAAGTGGAAGTGCCAGCAATTTCATAATGGTGAGTTATATCAAGACCTGATCCCACTAAAAAAAATGAAGTGATTGTGCCTGGAATAAAGTTAGGTAAGGGGTTTGTCATGGTCCTAACATAAACAAGTTTACCCGTGTAAGTGCCTAATGTCATTCCTTTCGCAGGCCTGAAATTGACCTGGATCCCAAACTGGAAATCATAAGTGCTCTCAAGTGGGGTTGCTGCATGATGAACGATAACATCCTGAAACGTACTTTCTTGAAGAGTAGAAGCGAGTTGCACAGGAGTTGAGTTCGGTGCTGTTACTGCAATAGTGAGTTCAGTGTTAGCGACTATAGGGTTTATTATGGTCGCAGTACCACCCTGTGGCATTAAAACCTCCAAGTCGGCTCCAATGCCGTTTACGCGGCCACTGTGGTCCGCCAGTCGCACCACACAAGTTATTGTTTCCGAAGCGATGAACCACACTCTAGAATTGTGCGTATTGGACTTGCAAGAGATTAAGGAATCCTTTGAAGTGGGTACACCAAGAATTGTACGAACCTGAGGACTTCCGGTCATAACGGCTTGGCTTTCTGACTTACCGTGGTCCTTGTCTGAGCTCAGCAAGATTGAGCCATCTACTGCGATTTTCAGTCCTGAACCTACAATAAAGCTAAAGGAATAAAGCCCATTAGGGTCACCTGGGTACATACCGATATCAATGGGGTCCGTTTTGTTTACGCCATCGGATAAGTAGGTGTGTGCGACAAGTAGTTTGGAAGGTGGGACAACCACGTTGGTAGTGATGTGGTCAACCACAGCGCAGCCCTGTATTGCGCATTGAAGGGTATCTCCAGTGCGAACGTAATCGGCAGGCAGTTGTATGCGATCCGTCATAGATACAGAGTTTGCACATGATAAAGACGTGCATTTATCGGGAAGACTTGGCAGACGCACAATAATGGGAGAGTTACTTACAGGCCAACGAGTGTATGGTTCAATATTTTGAACCTCAATGACAAGGTAGTTAAGCGACATTGCATTGCTCACAAGATTTTTGGGTGGTGTAACATCAAAAGTGCAGTATGGGAGACCCTTGGAAGTTTTCCCGCTGGCAATACATGGCGTTGCAGTTCCAGCACTCACAGTAATACTGTAGTTATTTGGTATATAAAACGATGATAGACCTTCGCACGTGCAGTGGATTGGACTTTCTCTGTCAGGATTGATACCAACTGGGAGACAAATCACAACTGCAATGCTCTGAAAGTGGCTATGGCTATCCTCGACAGTGAATGGAATTGAATTTATTTTCAGAATATTACCCTCCAAGAAGGTAAGCTCCGCTGCCATATAGTAAGTTCCTGTGGTGGAAATACTCAAGGCTACAAAGTCAAATGTTGTGTTCTTCTCATTGATGAATATATCACCCCCTAATAGATAGTCTTCTGGTGCTAGTTTACCAGTATCAGCAAAGGCGAGTGTCATTTGCACTTTCACACCTGGAGAGGCCACAGGCTGACCGTTCTTGTCTAGCAACTCCACCTTAGGTTGTACCTCACACGCCAGAAAAGTTTTGCAGGACGCAGGTTGTATAACAAAAACAGCATTCACTGCGGAATCCACATTGACAAAAATCACTCCAGGCAGCTGCTGCGAACCTGCAACAATGTTGCTACCGGGTTGAATTTTGTAGCAAACTACATGGTCACCCCCGGAAGTAGGAGTAAATCTGTATGAAGCGGTCTTGCCATCTTTACCGGTGCTAATGGAAGTAATATAGTTCAGCTTATCAGAATCACACACGTTGGAGGCATCGAGAGTAACGGCCTGATGCTTTTTTGGGGTAGAAGAAGACAACGCAAATGCGGCAAGATCGGTCTCTGAGAGACCGTTTCCATTAATGAGTATGTCTATTGGCATCTTCACTAAACTCATGCCGCCTATCACCGTCACTTGTGTCACCGTGGGAAACACCGCAAAACCGTTGGGTGTAATGGGGGTGCCGGGCTGCTGAGCACGACGTGACTCTGCCGATGTATAACAAAGCATATAGCCCCCTGTTGTCTGGAAAATAAATACGTACCGTATCTTATTCTGACTCTGAGGGTCATGAAGGACATTAGTTGAGACAGGGTTACCAGGAACGCGTGGGGTGTAGTGAGAATTAGTGCATATGTCTAATGGGATCTTCATAGTATTTGAGATTGACAACAAAGATGGAGGAGGTATACCAACAGCTACGACCTCATCATCCTGTGAGAGACCAAAGCCATGTAGGACAACATAAGACGCCGTACCTCCACCCACAGACGGTGGATTTTCAAATACAGCGTCGCTAACGCGACTCGGCTTCACTACTGGTCCTGCATTGGAGACTGGATAGAAGATCGCAATCTTCGGTGCGTCGCTCACGAAGGAAAAGATTGGTGAATGAGATAAAACATTCATTTTATTGTTAGGGGAATCCTTGTAGCATAGCGCATATAATCCAGCGTATTTTATCGGCTCTGTACTCTTCCACTTGCCCGTATCGCTCCCAAAGGTAAATGTTACCAGTGCTGATGCACCTTTAGGCACGTTTGTGTGGGGTTCTAAGCATGCAGAGGCAACATCTGCCATTGTGGGATCACCACTGGTGTGGTTCACACCATCTGATAGTTGTCTCATCCACAATGACGCGCCCTCTTGCTCGAATGTCTTGCTAGAGACTAGTGTAATATAGAGAAGCTCGGATGTATAAATTGGAATCGAGTCCGTCTTCCAACCCACAGGATTGGCGGCGGTTGCGTGAATTTCCCCAACGATACGCGCACAGTCCCTGCCGTTATGAGGATCGCACTCTTTAACGCGATTAGAATAGCAAATATAGTACGTCCCTGCAGTGGGTACAGCTGTCGTGGATACAAGACGGTTTAAAGCTTCGCTGTAAGTCACAGTCATGAAGATCGCAGCATTCTCTGGGGGTATATCCACACCTGAGCACTTTACAGGTGTTGTTGTCAACACTAAGAAGTATGACTCTGGCTTTACATCCAGTTCGAAAGAAAATATACGCCCTGCTTGAATGCCGGTAAGAGGAAGAGGTAGAACCGGTGGCACCCCAGCGTTGAGTGATATCGTGTCAAGCTCCAGAACGGTAACACTTGACACTAGTCCTTGGTTAGAAGCGTTGTGGTAATAGCACAAGGATAGTTTTGGATAGTCCTGTGTCCCAGCCAAGAACGACACCCGCACAGATGTCTTGGGGGCATTGCAGTTCACCCAAGACGCACCCCGTGGAAATAATGACAGGAGATCCTGCCCACTCACCAACGAGGGCATGTCGTAGTAGGGCCTATCATTGCATCCACTGGTGCTGTAATACAGTACATCCCCAGGCACACACGCCGTGTTGTCCAGTAAAGTCCAATCTACGGACTCGCCGATCGAGATGCCTGAGGTAGACTTGGATGGATTAGCCGCACTTGGGCTCCCTGTGCCGAAAATCTTCAGAGAAGTTGAGCCAATGATGTGATACAGTCCACCGTACAATTTATAACATATCCAGTAGCTCGACCTTAGAGTAGCGCCATGATTTAGATTCTTAGTATTGGGGGGGTTGATCCAGGATAGTACCTGCACGGCATGAGTACCATTTGCTATGAGTTTGTAGAGGTGCAGTTCGGTAGATGTGATGTGATTAAAACAAGACTCATGTGAGTATGGCAAGTTAGCATTAATCAGACGCACTTCATCAGACTTATCACTCAAAACAGACAAACCAAAGCCACTAAACACAATTGATACCAGTTTCTGTGGTGTATATTCCGCTGTTTTTTTTTCAAGTGGAAAGAATGTTAATCCTTGGGGATTAGGTCCAATAACAATGGGTTCAAAGCCCCAAGTAGGACTATATTTTTTAACCTTTGCAAGGGACGATGAGCCAAGGAAACCTAAGTAGCACACTGTATAGCTCCCTTGACGAGGGACGACCAGCTGGAAGATAATACTATGAGGCAGCAAATCGGTCCGCGATGGGCCAGTCATGATAACGACAGCGCCATCCGGAGTAATGCAGCTCACACCCTCGCCAAAGTATACAGCGACCATATCTTTAACATTGAGAGAGACAGAGCTGTGAGACTTAACCATGTTGTTTTGGGAGTTCGTGAAATTCAGTGTGAATTTTTCCCCTTCCAGCGCCATGACAGGTGTCTGTGTCATCTTGCTAGGGCTTCGTCCATGAATATGCAAGCTGTCTTGCACCAACGTCCAAACCTTATCATCCTTGAGTCTATAGCACACGCTATACTCACCCTGCGTGTTCGTCGAGATGTTGAGGCCCATCATGGTGTTATCCATGCTTATGGATGTTACCTGCCAGCCAGTTTCGGTACCTATAAGCGGTTTCATCGCGGCATCATACGCTACAAAGTCAGCGGGCGGCTTTGATGTATCATTGCATGATACAGAGGGTAGAATTATCTTCACAAAGTCACCAAGGCTAAGGCCCGAGCCGATGAAGTGTATTGTATTGAGCATACTCTGTCGAGGAACTACAGGATCGGTTTCAAAAAAAGATGGATTCGCCGGCAGCAGTGAAACCACACCATTTGGCACCTCCGACCATGTTCCTGTTATTAGACGATAACAAAGCCGCGCTGTGAGCGTCCTCGATTCCTTTGGTGGCTTCGCGGGGAAGATTGTCGTAAAGTAGACTTCAGAAGGGGTCCCTGATACTACGGTCCCTGCGTCAGTACCTAGTAACCAACAAGATTTTAAGTCTGTCTGTATTATAGCAAGATCCTGGTTAGGGGTAAGAAACGCGGCGTCGGGCGTCGTGCCATCCCGACTGAAGTGTACCTCTATCAGCTGACCTTGCCGCGGCTCGCTTGGTATGATATAAGCCTTTTCAGGGTTATAGGGCAAAATATTCATCACCTCACCGATGTCCACTACTCCACATGATGCCAGGCGGTAACAAGCAATATGACGCACACCCTTAACCTTTGGATAGTAAACAGCAACGGTATATGGCGGCTTAGAGCCAACACCATAGACGCCGTAGAGCTCCAGCATCTTGCCGCGTGAAGCTGCCTCGCAGCGCCCATTACGATACGCTATGCTGTCCTCCAAAGGCAGCAGCGTGGCCGCATCGAAAGTGCCATTGAATTCTGGGCCTGGAATCGGGAACTCCGGTAAGGGGCCATATGGGGTTAACCCCAGCGTCATGGCACCATTTTGGGCAGTGAAATTTAGCACGATCTGCTGGCCAAGTTGCGCGTTGAGCGGTTTCACTGAGATGGAACCCGGTTGCCGAGCATGCACTGAAAAGACCCACGACCTTGGATCGGCTACATAGTTTACTGGAATCGCGAATTCGTGGCCAATAACGTCACGGTAGCATAAAGTAAAGCTATTGGTTCGAGACCCTAAGAGTGCATAAGGCAAAAGTACACTGGTGGTTCCCATAGCGTCTGGACCTAGCTTGAATCCATCCACCGCCTGTACTTTGTCGTTGAGAGTTATAGCTAACAGTGGAAGAGCCGACGAGCCATCCGGATGGAGACAGAGTTCGCCGCCCGCAACGTACCGAACCCTATCATCAGTGTTAAAGGTAAGACCATTGTGATGATCAGCGGTGACATAAAGAGTCTGGTCTTCGAATAAGCAGTCTGAAAGGCCACCCGTCGGGCTTGGAGCTGAAAGTGTAATATGTTGGCAAATTGGACTCCAGTTTGTGAAGTCGCTGTCTGGACCTCCAATGCGGTAGCACACCTTATACTCTCCAGCCTCCCTCGCAAAGATAATAACAGAGACATCGAAGTTAGTTGAAGGCTGATAATATGTCTCAGATGATAGAAAAACGACAACACTATCATCGATGCATGCGTGGTCCTGGGGCACGACACGAATGGCATCATATTTAGTGTAAAGCTTCGCAAAGTCCGCTGTGCCTTTAATGGTAGACCGAATGAACTGCATTGCACGTGTAGAACCACTAGAAGCACCACCGATTCCCCCATTTGCATTCAGCAACATGTCACACTCGCTAGTCTTTGTCATAGCAACCTGGACGCTCAGCTCAGGAAGTATCGGAGCCCAAGTGCCAACTACCAGCTTATAGCACAGGTATTGAGTTCCAATACCCTTTTCGTTAAAGGTTAGAAATGTGTCAGATTCAAAATTTTGCTTATCCGCGTTCAGGACAGGCGCAGGGATACTGCGAAATGCAGTGTCGTCAAGATAAAACTTTTCCAATTCCTTTCCTGAGTCCTGATTGTTAATGTACGACTCTATACAATATTTTGGGTCGGATACGAAGGTAAAGCTATCACCTAGACTGACTACATCATCTGGTAACTTCGATTGATGTGTAAAGCGTAAACTAAGTGTTTGCATCGCGCGAAGATATTCCGCTTTTGATGGAAAGGTGGTTAATTTTAGATATGGACGAATCCAGAGCAAGTTATCGTTGTGTTGATCTTTTGAATCTTTCGCGACACGCACGTAATCTGTGGATAGTTTCGTCAACACGCACACCAGGAATCCACCTGGTTCCGACAAGTAGTCATGCTTAAACACAAACTGATACACCGTATCACTGACCTTCTTCAAGTTGCCGTTTGGGTTAAAGGCCGCACTCGCATCACATGCTGTCGATTTATCCACATAACGAACAAACTTAATGTCGGTCGGTGGATACATAGAACGATCAAAGGCAAGGTCTAGCGTAAGCTCAATGGTTTGACCAGCATAGCTCGGATCTGGTGTAGCTGTAAATTTTTCTAGGGGAGTCTGTATGGAAATGTAGCACTCTCCCGTCTTAGAATTAATCTGTTCACAGGTACACACCGGTACAAATATGTCATTATGGTAGTAGCAAATTCGATATTTATCTTCCACAAGATCTAAAGGCCAGTTAACAATGTAGGAAACCTTCGTAATGGTAACGGTACTCTTTTTTACCATCTCAGGTAGAAATTCTGGTACATAGTGGCTCTGACATTCATTAATATTAGTTTTGTAGAAAGACACACGCCACGTGTCGTGCTCCACATCTATACCATTATCGATTCTAAACGTGACAACTTGACGGATGCCAAGTGTCATGGTGGTTTCCTCAATGCATTGAATTGGACCAGCGTTAATTTCTATCGGTTTATCCATCATAGATGCCGTGGCCCCAGCGAGGCGGTAACACAGGTTCAAGTTGTCTACAATGTTAGATGCCTTCGGCTTCGTTATAACACTCTTGGGTGTACTAACAGCTGTATTCATATCGAACAAAATACACTGCGAGCAGGAATGTGGGTCAACCCCACAGCTTTGCCCAGATGGAGAAGCCCAAACAAAATCCCCACCGGATGGTTGAAGCTGTCCTAGATCATCATCAAAGCGAAGTGTGAAGCTTTGGAAGTGAACAAGGGCACCGCTCTCAAGCTTCCAACGCTGGGGCACATGTTCTTGCAGGTTCAGCGTCCCTGCGTCGAACGTGCCGCCCACGAGCCCCCAACTTTCCTCCAGCGCACTGTAGTAACACACAGGATAGGCCCCAGTGATATTGAAACTGCGGTACGCCAATGCATCCGTTGAGTCCTTCAACGTCAAGAAGGTAGTGAACTTGTCCACAACGATCACGGGCATCCCGCTTGGAAACCCCACCACACTGGTTGCGGTGTCACATGATTTTTGGTATCCCGGAGGAGGGATGCGTACCATGTCACCCTTTGCGCTTAGAACCACCAGGTGGAAGGTCAGAGTAACCTGCTGCCCAACTCGCGGTGGGTTAGGAAAGACCTCCATCTTTAAAGGATTTGCTTCGAGCACTTCAGCCAGCCCAACCCCATCAACTGTGGATGCGATATCCATCCATGGGGCATTCTTTGAAACACGCAAGCACAGCCGTGACATTCCTGTGTGCTGCCACACAGGAACCTCCAGCAGCAGGGTGCTTATGATGAGGTCCGGCTCTTGAATGTCGTCTTTGGTGAAATTATGGCACCACGTCCCGGCCCCCGTGGCGCTGGACACAGCAAGAACATCAACTTGCTCCAGTGTTATCAACGCGCTGCTCACTAATGTAATGCTCAGATGCTGCCCGGCACGCGGAGAGCCGTTTTTCTTAGAAGTCTCAAGTTGTGCAGTTGACGGGTTCGCGAGTTCCAGAGAGAAGGGGCTTCCCACCTCACGCCAAATATTATCGAGCTCGTAGCACAGATACACATGCAATATGTCACGACTCGATCTGAACTGAGCAACAAAACTGACACCGTCTTGGATTGTCTCCATGTCACCCTTCCGAGCCAATGCAGGTGTGGAATTAAGTGGCCTCATTGCTGCTCCACATGGGGTCTCAGTAAGCACTACCTCATCCTTCAGTGCATTCAGTCCATCACCAGAAATGGTAAAAACGATATACTCTCGCTCAAACCCAGCGAGAGGCTTGACTGTATTAATTTTGTAACCGCTGGGGTTACCTGTTGAGATGCTCAGCGTCTGAGGTACCTCCGCGACTGAGCCACTGGCTTTGATGTAGCACAGTGCCACGTGGTTATCACCCGCGGAAAGAACACCTGGCAGATTTAGACTGTACTGTGGATATGTGCTGGCCTTCGAGAATATCAAACTTGATTTTGAGGTGCAAACCTCATTTGTCAGTGTTTCGAACCACACTGCGTAGGCTATATCATCCACTTGTGCCCCGGGAAAGGAAACATGAACATTAGTCATGCCAACCCTAACGATGGTCGGCTGTGTGGAATACGTAGGTGGATCTGCAGCGTAAAGAACGTACTCAGTTTTGGTGGCAGCGTCAGCGTCCTGAAATTGTGAAGCGGCAGGAGTGGAGACGGGAACAGGAACAGGTACGTACTCCGTCTGGCTCCCTCCGCGGTAGCATAGAATATACTCACACGGAAACTTCAGATCCTTTGGGACGTCAGGTCCCAATGAAGGAACATGTGCCCGCCATTCACCAAGTGACTTCTGATCTTTGTGAATGCTGGCAAGAGGGGAAGAACTCACCAGGATCTGGTTGGGGTTTATTTCAGCCGTGTCCCAGCAGCCACGGGTTCTCTCCACGAGCATGACCTGATCATCTGTCTCAATAGGGTCATGCTCAGAGTAACTACTAAAGTTGTAGTCCAGCCGCTGGCCTTGATAAGTAACTGTCGGAAATCGTTTGACTGTAGTAGGCGAACTCAAAGCCAAACTAAGAACTAGATTTAAACCTACACGCGCGTAGCCGCTGTCTGCAAGCCTATAGCATACAATATACGTGCTGTCCGTGTTGAAGCCCACACGGATACGCATCGTTTTCAAATGATCTTTGAGCTTTGAGTAAGGGTTGCCGTAAGGCACAGTCGCATGCACCTCAGTAAAACAGCTTTGTTCAGAATTGGTGATATACGCCTCATCGTTAGGCTGAGGAACGTATGGGTTGGTAACAGGATCCGGCTGGATAATTATAACAGTGGCACGCCATAGCATAGGTTTGTTACTCGTGGTGAAGACATTGGGACCACCTGGAAGTACCGACAGGGTTTCTTTCATTTCAACATAGGCACCTATGGTAGAAATAAGGTAACACATAGTGTATTTTCCTACTGCCACATCTGTAAGGGTTAAATAAAAGGACGTGGTTTGGTGCGTGGTGCTGTCTATGGAAAATAACACTGCATTAGCAACAGCAGAACCCTCATAACATCGGTCACCGAGCCGGACAATCATAACACGGTCGTCCTTCGTAAGGTCCTTGCCAGTAAATATAATGCTTGGTCGGGTACCAACACGCGGAACAAAGTTCACCACCCATGATGATGGGTTTGGTTCACCCACGTGCACGTTTCCGACACGAGTTAGTAGATTACCATCTCGCCGGTAACAAACACCAAGTGTCACGACCTCTTGTATTGCATCGCTAAAAGTAATATGAAGCAACGTGTCATTAATGTACTCCTTGGTGAAGGTTACCCTTTTCGAACCGCCATCCCACTCAACTGGGTGAAGTGGGAGGTAGCAGGTTTCCGCGCAGGATTCCGTATTGTTCACAAGGAATGACTCATCCGTCGCAAGCATCCCAACACCTACTACATTGATTACTGCATTGGTCGATTCAGGTAAGATAACACTCGGTGTTGTGTAAACAATATACGGGTTTGCAGGCTGAATAGTCAATTTGGTAGTTGACACACTCTGGGAGGTGGTGCTATACTGTAGCTTAAAACATAATAAGTAAGACGTGCTGCGTGGAATGTTAGGCATTGTGGCATACCAATTGGAGTATGTAGTGCCGTAAGACTCTAGTTTGGGAAATACAACACCAGAATCACCAGGGTCATGCTGCATCAAGATGTTATCTATATCCTTACATGACTGAGTCGACGCATCATCCAAAGGAATAAGCTGGAGTTTATCCGTCGGGCCAAAGGCAGCATGGGGATACATATGTACATCAATAACAGTTAGATTGAAAACAACAGTCTCAAGAGCGTACGCCTTAGCCCAATCAGGACAAACACTCTGGAGCTTCACTAAGTCAGTGGGATAAATGGAAAATATTGCTTTCACACCCACATCGTCGGAAATAATAGCAAAATTACCTTTGCCAAGGCCATGTCCTCCCTTTAGATAACAGAGATGATATTCTCCAAGGTAGCTGCTGGAATCCGAAGGCTTGCCAGTGTGAACCATAAAGTTGGCTGAACTACCATCGGATGCAACTGATGTTGGCTTAAAAGTTATCGATTTGTAAGGACCTTGGGGGTTCTCGCATGGCAAGTTAGATAGATCCTGTGACCTTGGAATCAAGCGTAATGCGTCCCCCTCAGAGAGGCCCTTGCGTGAACTTGTGAATGTAAGACTCACTTCCTGATCCAAGAATGCGTAAGGTGGCATTACGCCACACGGTTCACAAAGCCCTATAACCAGGCTGCTCGTCTTGGTGATGTTTGGATCCAACACATTAGCACTCATCCCAAGGTGCAGCGTGTAGCTACCAGCAGCATCCAGGGAGACAGTGAAGGTATTGCTGGCAGTCGAATCTTTGGAGAGAAAGGATGGAGTAACATAAATCACATTTGCAGTACACGTCTCTAGCGATCCCATTGAAAATCCCACATGGGTTACCTGCTCGGTGGCAGAAAGACTTGTAAACGTGAAAGAAAAAGGTTCATATGGTCGAGGAATATAGTCCTGGTCGGGGATCAGAAAAGGACCCTCAAAAGGATCTTTTAGAGCTATTAACGGTGAGAAAATGTAATTTGGAGGCGGTGAAAGGCGTGGAACCTCGGCCCATGTGTCGGTCCCAGCTAGCTGATAACACACTACTACGCTTGCCGAACTTTTCCCACAGACGCTGTAGACAGACGCGCTTTGGGTGCTTTCAGAGGTGACACCCCCAATAACAACGATGTCACTGCTTGCTGGAGCATCATTATTGCATCTAAACCCTGAGCCGTCGGCGTCCTGACTTGATACGAGTTTCAGACGATCCTGGGTCTGCAGTAAACCGGCAGAGTCCTGCACAATAAGCTTCACGATTTGAGTCGTGTACACAGGGTCAGGCTGTAACAGGAAACTTGATGGATGGGCCGCATCCACGCTGAATGAGTCCGGATTGCTGACTAAACTCCACGTATTACCCAGAGGCAGGCTTTGATAGCACAACACGTATTCTCCCGTTGCATTGACACGCGGGTAGTAAAAACCCACGATGTCACTGTTACTCTTCAGAACAGATCCCACTGTGTCCCCCGGTGGGGCACTGGCGTCTGCATTTATTGACGAACCCGAGCATTCTTCCTCATAAATTGACCCAATAGTAGCTTCCTGTAGATACGCCAACTTAGTTAGTTTATTGGGGGAAACATGAACTATTTTGATATGATCCTTGTCACTCAGCAGGTTTCCCTTGACAGTGATAGTTAAAATCTGGCCAAGGTGGGAATTGAATGGACGAACCTCATACTTCTGAGCTCCTGTTATGCCAACAGCGAAAGAAAAATATCCAGCATGATTAGGTACAGGGAAGGCCATTGATTGATCATAGGTAATAAAACAAACAAAGAAATAACCTGAATCGTTAATGACAGGATTCACGGAAGCATGCTGATTGTCAGTCGTTTGGAAGCTTGTGAACGATGTTGTGCCACCTCCACTTGGTGGATCAGCTCCCACACAATTGGGCATGATTTCGATGTTGGCATCACTTGGAAGCACATAAATATCCATACGGTTTTTGCTTTGCTTAAATATGGGGTCTAACGCTGTGATAGAAATGCTGAAAGCAGATCCTTTAGCAATAATAGGATTTACCTCATAGAAAATTGGTGACGGATTCAGAACTTTCAGCTGAGAGGGAAAAACCGATGCCACGGTTGGCCGTTCAATCAGTTGGAAGCAGAGCAAATAGGTTCCAGCATCTGAAAAACTCCAATCTAAGTCCATCGTCGTCAAGTTGACCTGTAAGCTATTGTTCAACAATACCACGGCCTCGGAGACGGCCTCACTGCGCGTAGGAGGACGATAGCAATTATCATGACTTATCTCATCCTCTGCTGCTATCGTATTACTTTGAAAAGGAACAAGGAAAAGCTGCTTAAAATTACTTAATGTGTACTCAGCAGGAAAAGTGAGATGAACGTTTGTCTGCTTAACAAGAACGCGAGGTGACACTGGCGTCGTCGTGAATTCTGCGATGGGAGCATTGGTGATGGTTAATACCGCGGGGTGGACATCACTTCCGACGAGACTGCTAGTGTAATACGCTTGCCAAGGTTCCCGCCCTGTGCGCTGCATACAAACAAAGTAATCCCCCGACTCTGCTCGCATTCTGAGATGAATATACGGGACAGGCATCCCCGCACTGGTTTTCATCGTCTTCAGTGGTTTGTATCCGAAGGAGGCTGGGATCTTTGAGACATTGTCGCTTTGAAGTGGCAAGCTACAATCACGATTCGGCGAGATGCGCACCACATCATGCCCCACAAGCTTCGATGCTGGCAAGAGTCCATCATCAAGGACTACGTGAAGCTCCTCAGATGTATTAAAGAAGATATAGAAACGTTCACCACGGTACGCATTGAGAACATTGCTGTGTGCATGGTTATTCGAGTAGGCGCCAGTTGGTGACTGAAGCGAATATACAACCAGAATCTCCGGTGAGCGGACATAAATAGGCTCCCCATTGTTCACTGCAGTGTAGCATACAAGATAATATCCTTCCTTAAGCTTTCCTGTGGGGATGCGCCAAATGGCATTGATGCCATCCTTCTGTATCTCGGTAGAGCTCAGTACTGAAGTACCGGTCCTACAAAGCTCCGAGCTGGCTTGTGGTTTGCTCGTGTCGGAAGAACGCACCAAGAAGGCGCGATCTTGCGCGCTTAAATACTCTGGATTGTCTTTGCTGCCAAGAAACGCTATGCTGGCCGAAACGCCGGCTTGCAGTTGAGTAGGAACCGAACTCCACTGCCCCGGTATCGCCTCTATCACATGTAGGTTGCGATCCACAGTTGTGATAGGCCGTGGCGCCGTGGCAAAAGTCCCGGATTGCTTGCGATAGCATACTGTTAAGCCATATTTTTGATTTACTAAAGGTACGCCAGCGCTATTGGTAAAGGAATCCGGTAGCATTATCTCGGCCAAGGCAATAATTCTGTCGCTTGTGCTTGTGATAGACTTCACAAGGCCTTCCGAAACGACGGTAGTGTTACGGAAGCCGCAGTCAAATAAGTTGCCATCGATGATCTGCACAGCGTCTCCCACAGCAAAGGGTTTATTAGTCTGGAAAGGATTGAGTGGGGCGTAAAACTTAAACTGAAGCTGCTGCCCCATCATAGGTTTCTTAGGGAATACGTCATAATCATTCGGACATTCGCTACCAATAACTATAGAATTCTTTGATGTACTTGTAAGCTTACCAAAGTTTGCTAACCAGTTAACAGTGACACTTGATTCAACCGGATCAGTTGGTGGGAATCTATCAACACGGAACAATCCTTTTGGAGTGTTCATGCAAAACATGTAGATATCTGGGTTCATCGTCAGACGGCCCTGGAATTCACCTGATCCGGCACTGGTTTCAGTAAAGTTTTCGACGACTGGAAACTGTGTAGCCTGGTTAGTGACTTTGAGAAAGGGTGCGTAGTTGCACTCGGCCTTGGCAGGGTCAGAAAAAATCAGTTGTACATCCTTCAGCGGAACTATTTGACTACCATCATCAGCAAACGACGCCGCAACAACCATTTCTTCGTATCGCGTAATAGCATAATGAAATGAAGTAAAAAAATGCTTGCTATACTCTGCGTAGAGCGGGCTAGAAAAGATATAAATAGTAGAACTGGACGACCCATGGAATTTTATGTTGTCGATCTCATATATCGAACCTGACTCCCGCGTATAACACACTGTATAAGTACTCGCCCCACCATCGAGAAGACGAAGAACGCCGCGCCATTGAGTACCTGCTTCGTTTACAGAGGGCTTACCCACAAGTATCGCGGCTGTCACTGCCCCAGTATCACACACTATTCCAGTATTAATAACGAGACTATCCATTGCTTTTAAGTTTGTACCTGATACTGTTACCATGACATACATGTTAGAGATCAACGTACAGGTGTCGAACAAAATGGAGGAAGGATCGGGAAGCTTGATTTGTATGGGCGGCGAAGACTCAATGGGGACAGGCGCCCAGGACATGCCGCTACGTTTGTAGCATAACTTCATTTCACAAAACTTCCCAGACTTATCGCAGAGCGTATTATCAGAAAGCATACCTGCACCGAAGCGTTTGGTTAGGTTCGACACAATCCACGATACCCCGTCACTTGTTTGTTTGACTGAGTATGGGTAAATGCTGGGTGCGAGCCACTTCTGTAGGGTCCTATTATTCTGGATCTCGAATGTGCGCAAATCATGACAAGAATAGTGATTCGCGGTCAATAAAAAGACCTCGTCATCGACTCCAAGATTATCACCCTTGATATTCAAGATAAAGTTTAAAACCTGATTCGTGAAGATATTTCGCTCCGAGTCTGGGACGGAAATGAAGCTAGACGGGTTCATCTTGGAAACTACCAGCGTGCCTGGCAAACGCCGCGTATTTTCGATGTCGCCCCTACCATAACAAACGGTATAGGATCCTGCAGCAATATATTGATTTGAAAACTGGATTGATGTTGGAGTTAAGCAATCAACACTAGAATAAGTTTCACTTTTTGTTGATATGTCCCAGCACAATGCATTTTCATCTCGTATCAGGCGGAGATCCCTGCAACTGCTGCACTCCGCTTCACTACATTTGAGATTAACAATGAGAAACTGCCCCTCGGAGGGAGCCGCCGGGATAGTCTCGAAAGAGAACGGATCTTCATCCGCAATCTCAACCGGTTGAGAAAGAAATTTAGAGGTAAACGCAAGCTCCGCAAAGCTTCCCTCGAGTTTGCTAGACCTACGATAGCAGACTTTGTATGTCCCAGCATGGTTCACCACAAAACGTTGTAGGTATTTATGCCCGCTCTCGCCAGTGACGACTGGTTGACCAACACTTTGCACCTCGGTAGCGAACGCGTCGGTAGAGTATACCGATGCACATTCCACTGCATTGGGTATCAATATCATTTGGTCGTCTTTCGTGAGAAGTTTACAGCGGTTGGTATCCCGGCAACGATAAGCCAAGATACTAATAACTTCACCGGCGTGATTTACAGTTCCATCCTTTTTGACCACGGTATAATACATTGGATTGGCCAACCTTACCAGAAACTTTCCCATGTACGTGTCAGTATGCGCAAAGAACCCTACAGAATAGCAAACGACGTAGGTTGTATCCATTGAATAATTTCGAAATCCACGAAAATTGGTGTAGTTAACCTGGGAACCAGGAACTACACCCTCTGCCGTAATATTGGTGAATATTGCATCATTGTAGAACGTCTTTAGCCAGGAGGGACAAGTAGATGGATCGCAATAACAGTTTGGGTTCGGGTACATGGAGTTGTCGAAGCGATAAAAATAAATGGCATCATTACTTGCAGAGAGCACATTAGCGGTACTGTCCTGGGAAAAAAAATTCATCATAACCGAATCGGTGGCATAGTAGTCATTATCGGCTGGTATATTCACAAAATTAAACGATGAAGGAATAGCTGGCCCAATAGAAACATAGCCAGCGTACGACATACGCCTCTGCCTTTCACCAGACCCCGAGTCTGAGGCACCGGTCCATTGATAACAAAAGTGCACCGCATCGACGGTAAGGAGGTCAGAGCGGGTGTAGGTCACGTTCACCGCCTCAGCTGTACTGCTCTCAGGATGTATAGACGGGATGAGAATCATCGGCGGCGCATCGCCTGCCGGTGGGCAAGCATGATTTTTAAGAAGCGTGCTGGATGCCACAGGGTACACATGATCCCGTGAGGCGTCCAAACCCGCACCAGAGAAAATCGTCGTGAGTGTTGCCATGCGCACATGCCAACTTTTGGGCTTATAAGAAGACAACTCCGGGTTCCGTGTGGAGGCCTTGAAGCCGTAAGTAGACGCATTGACAGATGCTCTCGGTACCCAATTGGGTAGTACAGGAAGAAATGGCTCACCTTTTATGAGTGCCACACAGACAATATAGTTTGTATCCGCTTTAGCCGCCATCACATTTGCAGATAAGCTCACAGGCATGAAATCACTAACGAAGTCATCGGCTGAAACATCTGCCTCACAGGCAGGCTTGCCACTACATAACTTTAGCACACAAGTGTCCGGCATGCGCACGATTTTCACGCCTACAAAAATATTAGATTCTGATGGATTCCCATCCTCGATACGCATCTGAGCCGTTTCGTACGCAGTTAAGGGGCTTGTATTTGTTGTCGTTGGAAAATCATATCGCCTCGGGTAGGGTGAGATATAGAGCGCCGTCGTTGGGCAGGATGTGGGTGATGAGTCTTGGGAGCTGACGGTACTATGCGTCGTGACCCATACGTCGGAGCTGGCTATATGATAACACACAGTGAGGCACACATCCGCTTGTCCAACCAGTCTGCAGCTGTAGGCTTCTTCGGGTTTTACTTCTGTAAGGCCCGTGAGACTGACGTTGATGAAAGGTAGCGCGTCATTATTGCAGGGATTGCCGTACTCTATAATCCTTACCTCGTCTTTCGCAGAGAGACTTTTTCCTGTGAAATCCATGCGTACAAACTGTCCACCATACATAGGGTACGAAGACAATGTATAGGTTGGATTTCTCGCTGCAAGACTGACAGTATCGCGGAGTAGAGCATAATTCGCACGTCCAGCTTTGAGATAGTACACAAATATTTTAATCTCGGTATTTAACGGCGGGTTGACGTTCACATTGCAAATCGGAGTGGTGGTACCAGCCATATTGCATAAATACATATCATCATGATCTGGGATCGCTGTGAATGGGTCTGGAAAATCCCTAGGGGAAAGAAAGGCCTTATCAGCGCCTCCATTCAAGTTGGTTCCAACAAACTCCAACGTGATGGTCTGCCCTATAGATGGTGATGGTGTCAAAATATTAAAATGACTTGGTTGAAGGGGATCAATCGTAAAATCTGGATTGGGGTTGTTTTTTGAGAGATAGACACTTGACCACATGCCCGAATCACTACGCCAGTAGCAAACCCTCCCAGTAATCGACTTCTCAACAAAATCTAGCCTGATGAATCGAATAAAGGTTTTTTTCTCTTTAGGTGTGTACACTAAATCACTGAACTCAATGTTGCTGATCAGCGAAGCAGTTTGGGAAGTGCACTCATCACTGGACTCAATAATCTTAACGTTGTCTGTATTAGATAGTCCTGTGCCATAGAAAGTTAAGTTGCCCTCCTCCCGTGCCTGGGGCTTTTCTGGAATGCGGCTGTACACACCAGGAGTTGAGGGGCTGAACTTCAGCACGGGTGTCGACGCCGCAACGACTGTGTACGACATGGAACCCTTTGTGGTGCCGCAGTTGACGGCATCGCTGGGGCAGTAAGGTACACATATGAAGTACCCATCCTGACTGGGCAAATACGGCACTACAAATTTTCCTGCCACCGATGACGGGCTGGGGTAGGATAAGTAGGAAAGCAGGATTACGCCATCCGCTGATCCCTTCTGCTCTATGTCACTGCCAATGGCATCACATGCCGTGGTGAGTGCGTTCAGGTCCGCACAATTCCATTTGGGAACGCAGGGTGGGAGGAAGATGGTAAAGCTTTTAAGCGCATTATTATGAGGTCTGTCCATCGGTAGCTCGTTCTCCAAAAGAGTCAAGTTGATCATACCTTCACCCCCGCTCGCGCTGGGTGGTAAAAGATTGTACTGTTTGTAAAGCGGTGGCCATATCAATAGTGAAGTGCTAGCAGAGCTGTCGCTTGATCGTCGAAGGACTATGGCAGTCTTTAGATTCTGAGAAAGGTAGCACAACACGTAACTTGAACCTTCAGAAAACATGCTGCTAAGGATAGGAAGTTTGACGTAGCCCAGACCGCCATCACCATCGGCATTCGTAACTTTGAAGTGTTCCGTGCCCTGTGGTTGTCCCGCTAGATCATACTGACATTGCTTTTCTGACCCAGAGCCCGGATCAATAAAAAGATAAACCTCATCGTTATTAACAATGGGCGGATCCCCTTTAAGGGGGTTACTTTTGAGCCTGAGTTGAACAGTCTGATACATTGACGCCTGCAAAACGTTGGTCGGATCGAAACTCATATTCGCCTCCACTGTTGCAGACGAAATGATCAAAAATAGTACCGATAACACAAATATTCGACAAAGGAGTAGCGATCTCGCTACAGAACAACTTGTCCTATATTTTATTTTGAATAACATAGAAACTAGAAATAATAGTAAACAATTTAATGTACTAAGATAAGAAAATACTACTTTATATGAAGGCAGTTTCTTTATTAAATCAGTAGCGGATGATGTAAACAAAGACACAATGGCTGCCGTTTCTTTGGAAAGAAACACCTGGTGCACTTCTTTGTGGGTGTCATTAAGGATAACCTTGGAACTATCATGGATGTATCGTAAACAGGACTTTGGATGTTCATTATGCAACGTGCGTGCAACATACCTTTTTTTTGCCGCAGACGTATGAGTCTGCGGGGCACCTTCCTGACCCTCCAACTGTAACAGTGATTGAGTAGTAACAAGAGCCCCGATATGTGACATTAATTACGTACGATAATTCGAGTAAATTCGTTTATAAGATGCTTTGAAGTAATGATAATAAGCAGGACCGTTGCGTGGAAACGTAATCAGCTTTTTTCTGTACAATGCAAACAGATCACACACACAACACACCTTTTTTTTTTATTGGAGAGTTTCACTTCTTCGAAGAGATGTAAAAAAAACTTAGTGATTTGGAATAAAGTTTGTGTGTATGTGTTCTTTGAAAAGAGTGTAGAAATCTGCTTTATTTCAATCGATTTTCAATTTATCTATATATATATATATATATATATATTTAAGTAAGCGAGTGAGTTGATAAGTATCGAAACTCACAATATCTACGTCCACGAAGAATTTGGATGAAAAAAATTTTTATCTATGACCTAAAACTCATGTATAAACGACCGCTCTGATTTCTAATTTTCACTCACAAAAGACGCACAGAAAAGATAAAAAAAAAATATGCAAGTGAAAACAAAACGATAAAAAAAATTCGTCTTTATGAAAAAAAATCTCACGTGTCGTCACACCCTTCCAAAATTCCAGTTTGCCTAATCTAGCTGACCAACGGAAACGGTGCGAATAGCAACACCAACGGTAGTTGTACTCGATAGTCTCGTTAACAATATTTTAACCAATAATGATTTCACTAAACCTCTTAAGAACTCTAGCCTCTTACTTTTGTAAATTACACAGTCTGAGAACGTAACTGCTGATGTTGTTATATATTTAGAGAGAAAAGGAAAGGAATTAAAACTATTCCTCATATCCTAAGCCAAATCGCTGGAATTTATTTTCATTGGGCTAAAAAATAGTAAATATTTTTCTTTGATTTATTTTATTATATTTCTCATATATTTTTGTATAAATGTCATAAAAAAATACAAAGTTTGTAAATAAAAATAAATAGAGAATATCGGAAGTTCTGAAGGAAATTTATCAAATGAAATTATAAATAACTAAAACACTTAATAACAATGCATTATATATATATATATAATGTTGCAAACGCATAAAAATACAGTGATCATGTGAATTTATTTTATGATAGTTTTTCATTAACTGGAAAAAATGAAAGAAACATAATGCACACAAAAAATATATACATATACCCGCTTTAATGACCTCCATTCATGTGGAGCTGCTCAGTTTTGCTTATTATTTGTAAGAAGAACTTATTACTATCACTGATATTCGATATACTACTAAAAAAGGTTCGTATAATGTAGTGGATACGTAAAAAAGAGGAATTGAAGAATGGTTAATTCAGTCATAAATAATTATTATTCAACGCTATGACTTTACAAATCGAATATAAGGAAAATCGGTAAAAATGAAATTATCAGTCGTATAAATAAAAGTAAAATCTAAAGAATACTTCTAGGGGGGG